TATTATTATTATTATTATTATTGTTATTGTTATTGTTATTCCCATTCAACAATAAAGGAACTGAGGGGCAGAAGATGAGTAACTTGTCCGAGGTCACAGCTAGTCAATGGTGGAGCGGGGCTTTGAACCCAGGCAGTCTGGTTCTAGAGTCTATACTCTTAACCACGGAATGATACTGTCCAGTAGTTCATACCCCCCCTCCACCCCCCACTAGCCACAATTACCAAAGCCCCTCTGGCATGGGACCACAAGCCTTTCTCTGCAAGGAACGGGGCAAGTGGTTATGAACAGGGGAGATTATTCGAAGTGGAAAAGGGGCAAGGTTTTCAGCTGGGTTAAGGGTCTGTGACTAGCATTTGTGAGTGGGAAGCTAGGGCCTGGTCAGCAATTCCTCCTCCCCTCCCCATTTGTCTTTGTTTCTTGTGTTTTTTTTTTTTTTTTTTTTTTTTTTTTCTTCCTGGTTGCCCTCCTGGTTTTTCTGGGCTTTCTGCAAATGCCAGCCTTCTCACAGTGTGAAGGGGAAGTGAGAGAAAGGACTTTTATTCCTGCTTAGGATACATTAGGTGGGGGCTGGGGGGCATTCCCTGAGGCCTGGGCTGGGTGGTGTCATCAGGGGTCAAAGTGAGAATCCTGAAGTGGAGCAGCCTGGGGCACCTCAGGGCAGTTACCTTCTCTTGCTGGGGAGGCTCCTCTGTCTGAGTTTTCTCTGCCTACCTCTTAGGGGATTCTAGGTGCAATGGATACCTTTCACATTTCCTCTCTCTCCAGCCCTGGTCTGCCTCTCTTTTGCTAGCACATCCTCCAGGGCCAGCCCTGCTTGGAGCCCCTCATCACCCAACCTTCCTCCTACTAGGGGCACTTTGTCTCTCTGTCTCTCCACCTCTCCCCTCTCTCTGCCTGCTTCTCCTCACTGCCTGGGTCACACTGCAGCTCCCCATTAGGACTCACCATGGGATAGTGGCCTGGGTAGGGCTCTGCACTGACTCCCTAAGAGACCTTGGGTAAGTCCTTTCCCCTGATTTGGCCTCAGTTAGGGGCTCCAGACTCCCATAGTCTCTCACACTGCTATTCTAGGATCCCAGCCCCTCTCCTAGCCTTTCTCAAATCATCTAGACCTTAGTGAGGAGCTACTGTGTTCTGAGCACTGTGGAAGGAAGCAAATAAGAAGCCCTGGAGGAGCTGTTAGTCCTTTTATGGAAATGAGATGAGCTACTGAGAAGGTTGAGCCATACTCTGATCCCATGTGCTTCTGCAGGAGAGGGCAGAGGTGGGGTCATGGGCCCCTAGGAATGGCGGAATCACAGAAGGTTTCCTTGGGGAGAAGAGGGGTTGGACACTTGGCTGGAAGAAAGGGGGAGGTTTGGACAGGCCTCTTTCCTGTCACTCCCTATTTCAATTTCTCCCAGCCGTGTGTGTGGGGGTGGGTGTCCATCTTTTTCTCTTTCTTCTGGGGTCTCCATTTCTTTTTCATCATCTCCTGAGGTTCGGTGGAGTTTTCTGAGAGCCTGTATCCTGGGGATCTGAAAATGAGCAAGACTGGGCTACACCGGGCCAGGCTGCCTCATGGTTAGGGGATGGGACTCACTCTTATCAGGTTAGAGGGGACGCTCAAAAACACCGTCATCCCTGCATTTCTCTGAGATTGAACTGGAAAGGGCTCTTATTTAGAGGGATAATGCAGATCAATCTCTGGAGGGAGGAGGTGTCATCCTGACTCCAGCCCTCTTTAGTCTCTGCCCATCTCTGCCTCTGTTTCTGACTTAGTGTACTTCTCTGTCTCTCCCCTTGTCCTTCTCCCATCCCTCATTCCCTGTCCTGCCCATTGCCCCTCTCCACCCCTCCAAGCCTTTTCCCCACCACACACAGATTTCCCTGCTGCTGGGTTGGGATTCCCCCGGCCAAGCAAGGAGAGAGATATCTGTGGCACAGCTTTGTCCCCAGGACCACAATGGCATCTGTGGATCAGCATAGTGGGACAGCTGTCTACACAGTTAGCAAGTGCCGACAGGTAAATAAGAAGCTCTTATTTTCCTAATTAAATCGCCCTTTGCCCAGGCAGCCTGTGTTCGATTGGGCTGGGCTGGGATCAATAAGCCTCTTTCCCAGCCCAGCTGCCCCTGGAACTGGGCCTGATCTCCCCAGACTTGCCCCAGCACAACTGCCCATTTCCCCATAAGGCTGGGAGCCCCTCAAGGGCAGGGGTTGGGTCTGATTTGTCACTTGTGCCCTTGTGCCTGGGACAGAGCCTGGAACAAGAGTAAAGGAGTGATTGCTAGACTGAGTAAACTCAGGCACTGGCAACGAGCATGGGCCAAGAAGGCTTTGAGGTTCAAACTACAACTCGCACCTCCAGGGTCCACTGTGAATTGGTGAGAGTCACAGCAGGCAGCTGCTCCCACCCAGTCCCCAGATGCAACGCTGGCTTTCCACCCAGGGCAGCTGAAGCCCGGGGAGGGGGCGTGGGGGGGATGTAAACTTTCAGGGACACTAGGAGTGGTTGCTCCTTTCGAAGGCAGATGACCCTTTTCATAAAGGATCTAGTGTGAGAGAGTCAGTGCGCTGGGACCAACGTGTAAGAGTTCTGTGACTAGTCACTGTGGAGTGATGAAGGGCCCAGGGTCAGTAACGGGACAAAAGCGTCCAGGACCAGTTATTAGAGGAGGGCTTAGCGGACAACATGTGTGGGGTGTGCAAGGATCCTGGGGTTCGTGGTCCAGCGGGAAGGGTCGGTATTAAAGGGTTCCTTGGAGCGGTCAGTACTGGTCGGGGTCAAAGTGTCTCTGATGACTATCGGGAGCATGTTGTCTCGCAAGGGGATCAGACAGTTCCCGGTTCGGAAGGAGAGGGTAGGATGCCGACGCCCTTCTCACCCCAGTCCGACCCGGGGTCGCGGGCCAGAAGTCTCTCGGAGCCCCCGCCCATCGAGTGGCGCTCCTGCAGGGCGGAGCGTCGGCGGGTCCCCCGGGAGCAGCAGGAGCCGTGCAGGACGGGCGCCCCCAGCGCCGGGGTTGAGGGAGGCCGGGTTCGGCGCGGGGCTGGGAGGGGGGCGCGGAATCAGGGCTTTTTAGGACCCAGCGCGGCGCCTCCCTCCGGGGGCGAGTGCGGCTGCGCGCTCCGTGTGCCCGTGTCCGGAGAGCCGCGGGCTGGACGCGGAC